GAAAGTGGCGACAGTTTCACAAATCGCAACCCCCTAGGGATGGCGAGGTCTAATTTGAGTCTGCGCTGGGTACCCACTGTGCTGTGCCCCTCAGCAACCCTCGAAAGTGGCGACAATTTCACAGATCGCAACCCCCCAGGGATGGCGAGGTCTAATTTGAGTCTGCGCTGGGTACCCACTGTGCTGTGCCCCTCAGCACCCCTCGAAAGTGGCGACAGTTTCACAGATCGCAGCCCCCCTAGGGATGGCGAGGTCTAATTTGAGTCTGCGGTGGGTACCCACTGTGCTGTGCCCCTCAGCAGGCCTCGAAAGTGGCGACAATTTCACAGATCGCAACCCCCCAGGGATGGCGAGGTCTACTTTGAGTCTGCGCTGGGTACCCACTGTGCTGTGCCCCTCAGCAGCCCTCGAAAGTGGCGACAATTTCTCAGATCGCAACCCCCCAGGGCTGGCGAGGTCTACTTTGAGTCTGCGCTGGGTACCCACTGTGCTGTGCCCCTCAGCAGCCCTCGAAAGTGGCGGCAGTTTCACAGATCGCAACCCCCCAGGGACGGCGAGGTCTAATTTGAATCTGCGGTGGGTACCCACTGTGCTGTGCCCCTCAGCAGCCCTCGAAAGTGGCGACAGTTTCACAGATCGCAGCCTCCCAGGGAAGGCGAGGTCTACTTTGAATCCGCGTGGGTACCCACTGCGCTGGGCCCCCCAGCAGGCCTCGAAAGTGGCGACAGTTTCACAGATCGCAGCCCCCCAGGGAGGGCGAGGTCTAATTTGAATCCGCGTGGGTACCCACTGTGCTGGGCCCCCCAGCAGGCCTCGAACGTGGCGACAGTTTCACAGATCGCAGCTCCCCAGGGATGGCGATGTCTAATTTGAATCCGCGGTGGGTGCCGCACTGTGCTGGGCCCCCCCCAGCAGGCCTCGAAAGTGGCGACAGTTTCACATATCGCAGGCCCCCAGGGAGGGCGAGGTCTAATTTGAATCAGCGTGGGTACCCACTGTGCTGGCCCCCCCAACAGGCCTCGACAATGGCGGCAGTTTCACAGATCGCAGCCCCAGGGGTGGCGAGGTCTAGAGAGGGACGGGAGGGGGTGGGAAGGAGACGCGCGAGCAGTGCTCTATTCAAAACGAGAACCCAACGCAGGAGGGTTGGGAAGAATAGTAGTAGTCGTAGTAGTGATCGTAGTAATAGTAGTAGTAGTAGTAGTAGTAGTAGTAGTAGTAGTAGTGGTGGTAGTAGTAGTAGTAATAGTAGTAGTAGTAGTAGTTGTAGTAGTAGTAGTAGTGGTCGGAGTAGTAATCATAGTAATAGTGGTAGTCGTAGTACTAGTCGTAGTAGTAGTCGTAGTAGTAGTAGTCGTAGTAGTAGTAGTAGTAGTAGTAGTAGTAATAGTAGTAGTAGTAGTAGTCGTAATAATAGTAGTAGTACTAGTAATAGTCGTGGTCGTAGCAGTCGTAGTAGTAGTAGTAGTAGTAGTAGTAGTAGTAGTAGTAGTAGTAGTAGTAGTAGTAGTAGTAGTAGTAGTAGTAGTAGTAGTAGTAGTAGTAGTAGTAGTAGTAGTAGTAGTAGTAGTAGTAGTAGTAGTAGTAGTAGTAGTAGTAGTAGTAGTAGTAGTAGTAGTAGTAGTAGTAGTAGTAGTAGTAGTAGTAGTAGTAGTAGTAGTAGTAGTAGTAGTAGTAGTAGTAGTAGTAGTAGTAGTAGTAGTAGTAGTAGTAGTAGTAGTAGTAGTAATAATGATCATAATGCTAAGATTTGTGATAGTAGTCGTGGTACTAGTAGTAGTAGTAGTGGTAGTAGTGGTAGTAGTAGTAGTAGTAGTACTAGTAGTAGTAATCGTAGTACTAGTAGTAGTAGTAGTAGTAGTAGTAGTTGTAGTAGTAGTAGTAATACTAGTACTCGTACTGGTACTAGTACTAATACGCGTACTAGTAGTATGACTAGTACTAATAATAATCGTAGTCGTAGGGGTAGTAGTAGTAGTAGTAGTAGTAGTAGTAGTAGTAGTAGTAGTAGTACTAGTGGTAGTAGTCGTAGTCGTAATATCAGTAGTAGTAGTAGTAGCAGTAGTAGTAGTAGTAGTAGTCGTAGTAGTGGTAGTAGTGGTAGTAGTAGTAGTAGTAGTCGTAGTAGTAGTAGCAATCGTAGAAGAAGAAATAATAGTAATAGTAGTCGTCGCAGTTGTAGTAGTAGTAATAATAGTAGTCGTAGTACTAGTAGTAGTAGCATGGGAAGAATAATAGCAGTAGTAGTAGTAGCAGCAGCAGCAGTAGTAGTAGTAGTAGTAGTAGTAGCAGTAGTCGTAGCAGTAGTAGTAGTAGTAGTAGTAGTAGTAGTAGTAGTAGTAGTAATAGTAGTAGTAGTAATAGTAGTAGTAGTAGTAGTAGTAGTAGTAGTAGTAGTAGTAGTCGTAGTGGTCGTAGTAGTCGTAGTAGTAACCGTCGCCTTTTCCATTCAACAGCAGGGGTAGTGGCGCCAGTGGTCGTAGCGATGCCCCAGTACTGTAGCAACAGAGGTGCCCTAATACTGGCTGCCGCAATCGTACTCATAGTCGTGTAAAAACGATACTCCAATGATGTAGTACTATAGCACGATTGTAGCACGGCTGTGCTGCACTTGTGCAGGTGCAGCACAATGGTAGTAGCACTGTTAGTACAGTAGTCGTACTGCAACAGCGATGTAGCAGTAGTAGTAGTGGCAGTAGCAGTCGTAGTCGTATTAGTAGTAGTAGTGGTAGTAGTAGTAGTAGTAGTAGCAGTGGTAAAACAGTAGTAGTAGCAGTAGTAGCAGTAGTAGTAGTAGTAGTAGTAGTAGTAGTAGTAGTAGTAGTAGTAGTGGTGGTAGTAGTAGTAGTAGTAGTAGTAGTAATAGTAGTAGAAGTCGTAGTAGTAGTAGTAGTAGTAGTAGTAGTCGTAGTAGTAGTAGTAGTTGTAGTAGTAGTAGTAGTAGTAGGAGTAGTAGTAGTAGTAGTAGTAGTAGTAGTAGTAGTAGTGGTAGTAGTGGTAGTAGTAGTGGTAGTAGCAGTAGTGGTAATGGCAGTAGTAGTAGTAGCAGTAGTAGTAGTAGTAGTAGTAGTAGTAGTAGTAGTAGTAGTAGTAGTAGTAATAGTAGTAGTAATAGTAGTAGTACTTGTACTGGTACTAATACTAGTATAAGTAGTAGTACTATAGTACTGACGCAGCCGTCGTATTCCGAAAAATGGGTGTGCTAGAAATTCAGTAATGGTCTTATACTGTCGCATTGTAGTAGCACTCACGTAATGTAGTACTGTAGTCGTATTGTGGTAGGTCGCTCATGGCTTTCGCAATTTTGTTTCTGTACAGCCCAATGTGCCATTTGTCGTGTACACTACCATTCTTGTTTTGCTGTTTGCGAGAGACTGGTTTCTCGGGGAACGCTTCGTGACGCAGTGGTCGATCATGAGTCGCGCAATTTCGTTTTACTACGTATCCCCAACGGGTGCTAGTCGTGCACGCTGCCTTCTGGAGTTGCCGCTCGCGAGAAAATCAAGGGTCTCGAATCGCTATCAGAATTCTTCAAGAATGTGCTCAACGCCGAGGCGCGAAAGTCATGTTTGAATGAATGTGCGCGGCGCCGACGCGAGAATCCAAAGTGGAATGGGCTGCCGAATCAAGCTCTTCCAAACCGCCACTTGAGAATCCTCCGCCCTCGCCAATCGCGGTGGGCAGTGGACCACCAATGAGTATGAGTGAACTTGAGTCTGAGTATGAGAAGAGTATGAATGTGAAATGGTCTGTCTGAATGTGAGTGAGTCCGAGAGTGAGTGAGTCTACGTGTGGGTAAGTCTGAATGTGAATGGGTCTGACTGTGAATGTGTCAGAGTGTGGGTGAGTTTGAGTGTGAATGGGTCTGACTGCGAATGAGTCTGCTAGTGAGTCAGAGTATGAATGTGTCTGTGTGCGTGCGTCTGCCGTTCGAATGGGATGGTGGGCATCGGTCCACCATCGGCGCCTCCCTTCACTGATTACTCAATGCCCCCCCCACTCCGAAGGGATCCCTCACAGACCATACAGAGAGCCAATTACGGGGGTCGCTGCTCCCCAGTGCCACATTCCGCTTCAGTTCGAGGCGAATCAATAATTCAAAAACAGCGCTGCGCCGGTCCGCGCCCCGAGGGCTCAAAGGGGAATCCCGCCATGTCAGGAAAGTCGATGGTGCAAGTTGGCAGCCTGAAGCTATGGAGCCCAACTCATTGTAAACAGTTGCTTCGAACAACTCTCCCAACAATCCACGCCCCATGGAGGCTTCCCGTCTTGTGCCACATCATGAGCCTCCGTGAGCCGTCCTCATTTCTAACTCGCCCGCCGTGGTAAACTTAAGCTTGCAACCCATTATGAGGATAGGGAACCGTACGGTAAGGAAGCGAAGGGTGCATGTATGGACTTCTTCAAGCGCTCCTGGGTCTACAATGGAAGAGGTCAGACGAAACGCCGCCTGCTGGATCATGTTCTTGAATTCGTAATCAAGGCTGCAGTGTGATAGTCCCCTGTGAACCGGACACTAAAGCAACAATATATCACTGCTGGTATCTTGCGGGCAAGACTGATGACCGAAACCTTGTGCTTGATGGCGACATCCTGTACATGTGCGAAGCGGCAAGCTCTCTGCTTCTGTTCCGCTCACCAGGATTGGCTACTAACCCAACTTCAGCATTAAATCTTGGACACGGGGATGCGCAAGGAACGCTGACTTTTCGATGAAGTCTGAGCCGGAGCAGGGGTTGGTGGCTAACCCTTGTCGGGCATTGGATATCGACATACTGCGTGAAAAGCAACAGAAGGGGGATCAGGGAAGGCTCCATTGGTCGTGCCACGCCGTGAGCAATACCGCTGAAGCATTTCCACTTCCTCCTGCCATTCGTGGCCCGTCTCTTCTCAAATATCCTTTCGCTCATGCGGCTCGCACCATCGCTACCCGACATAGTACACAAAGCCAACTAGCAATGGACCCCCCCCCCCGCTGGCCATGTATGCGCCCTCTTTTTTGCAACGACTTTTTCGGGCGCGCGCGCGCGTGGGCATCCATCGGCGGCCTTTGCTTGAACTACACCGCCAAGAAAAACGAGGTGGGTTCCAGATCCATGCGCTAGCGGCCAACAAAATTGGCTCTACAATTGCCACACTCACTGCCATCCTGCCTACTTACCTTTCTCCTCTCTCACTCCCTTCTGGTGCCACTGGTTGTTAAACGCGAGCCCTAGGCAATTCAGTTGGGCTCGTACAGCGGGGTGCTGGCCAACTTCGTTGTCGGTAGACGCAGAGGAGCAAAGATGACCACCGATTTCGAGATGAAACCAACACGGGTGTGACACGGGCGCGTGGGCCCCAAAACATTGATCCGTACTGAGGCTGGGGCCCTGCGACCGGGCTCCTCTGGGCGACGGCCGAGCGCCGAGCCCCCGTCCGCCACGCAACCGGACCCAGGAACCTCTGGGCGGGACGCTCTTATCGACAACCGCACGTCCGCACACAGGCCAAACGGACCCGGGACACCATGGGCTGGCTTCTCTTGGCGAGGGCCAGCCCTCGTCAGCAAGCCCCTGTCGGCGACGAGCTCCCAGCTCCTATGCCACGGGGCCCTGCACGCAATGCTCTATGGATGGGGCCGCATCTGTGGCGGTCCACCCACCGCGGCCATTTCACGGGACTCTTTGGGCGGGGCCATCTGGGCAAGATCGTGTCGGTGTCGGCCGAACTGCATCGGTCCATCCGCGGGGATCCCTGGGCTTTGCCCCCTCGCTCGCGGCTGAACCACCGCGGCAATACCGCGGGACTCTGTAGGCAACGCCCGGCCAAAATTACCGCGGCCATGCCGCGGGATGCACTGGGCGGGGCCGACCGCTCACGGCCGATCCACCATGGACATGCCATGATGCTCTATGGACGGGGCATTGCTGGTGATAGCCGAACCCTGGGGCCCGATGGGCAGGACTGTTATCTGTAACGGCTAGACCACCGCAACCGAATCAGGGTTCCCCCGTGGATGGCACCTTCTTAGCAAGAGCGCATCCCGCGGTCATATCACGGGACACTATGGGCGGGACCCCATGAGTAAATGGGACCCCATCGGTGACGGCCCAACCACTGTGGCCGTGTCGCCTTTTTACTGGGCAGAACCCAACGCGTGTGCCGTTCTGGGTAACGGTCGATCTCTCCCCCATGTTGCGAGACTCCACAAGCGGGGCCCTAGCGACTGAACTTTCATCCCGGTGTCACGTCACTCTTTGGGCGGGGCCATATGAGCAAGACCTGGTGACGGCCGGACCACCATGACCAAGTCACGAGACTCTGTGGGCGGGGTCCAATCAGTGATTGCCGAAGCCTGCCTTCGCGCCGCAGAACTCAATGGACGGGACCCTGTGAGCGAGACCGTGTCGGTGACGGCCGGAACCCTGTCCACATGTCATGAGACTCCACGGCAGGGGTCCTATGGGCAGGACGCTGTCCGTACCCAATCTTGACGGAGCAAGCAAGGATTAGCAGCAGGTTAGAAACTGATCATAGCAGAAGCAGCACGACTCCCAGAACAATGCTTGCCTTTAGGGGGTTCTTGCTTGTGTCGTTGTGGCGAGCTGGCCCTCCTTGCCGGCTTCTGGCAATGGCCGCCGTGCGGTTCTGGCCGCTGCTGGTGGGCGGTGTGCTGGGTTCTGGCCGTGGCCGCCATGGGGCTCCACACGCACGGCATGGGTTACCACACACGTAAGATTCAACACACATGGGGTTTTACACGTGGTGCTGCAGGCGTAGGATTCCGCGCATGGGTTCCACACACATGGGATTCCACACATTGGCCGCCATGGGTTCCACGCGCATGGGATCCCACAAACAGGGCAATCCCGCCGTCGCCAATTTACGCGGTTGGTTGCGCGTCGACAGGCTACGCGGCGTACGGTCACGGCTGGCTACAGCATCGTAACGCTGCTTCCCAGACGGCCTCGAGATGATTCTAAAGCGGTTCGCCAGAGCTCGGTCGAACCATCCTGAATGGATGCTGCACTGGCACGGTGGCGAGGTTCCCCGCAGGCAGCAGAGTGGCCATGCTTTTCCGCAAGAGAAGATGCAGTATGCAAAATTCTGTGTATTCTTGGCATTCCATTGAGACTATGTGCGAACTCCTACACGTCCAACGTAGCGCACCTTCAGCTTGAGCGCATGCGGCATGCGCAGAAGAGCCGGCAATTCAACTGCACCTATGCGACCACCATTCGGGCGAGAAGGGGGCTGTGGGGGAGAAACCAACGGACGATAATTGCGATGATTGTGATGGTGCCGATGCTGGCGATGCGCTCGCGAGCTGGTGATGATGCATGGTGACGATGCTGGTGACGATGCGTGATGGCGATTGTGATGGTGACGATGCATGGCAACGATGCTGGTGATGAGCGGGGGCGCATAACCTCTCCATCGGGACATCTGCGAAGCATCATGTGGATAACATCGTGGCAGCATGTGGGCACCATCGGGACACCGCCAAGAGAATTTGTGTATCGATCTCATCATCGATCTCACCATCAGTAACTCTATCAAACTTTCAACCTCACTCTCAATCGGTCCCACTATCCATCTCACAGTCGATCCCACTATCTCTCTATCAATCGATATCACTATCGATCGGTCTCACCATCCATCGATCTCGAAATCTATCTATCTGACGACCTCACGGGACAGCCATCGGCACAATCATCGGGCGCAAACGGGACACCGATATGACATTCTGCGTATCGACCTCACTACTGATCTGACCATCGGTCACTCTATCAATGCATCAATCTCATCACCAAACGGTCTCACTATCCATCTCACAATCGATGCCACTGTCAATCTGTCGATCTCACTATCGACCGGTATCCCTATCCATCGATCTCACATCTCACTATCTATCTTTCGATCTCACGGGACAACCATCGGGACATCGCCATGAAAGTCCGCCGATCCATATCTGCGGGGGGGGAAGGCCAGGGGAGCTCTGCTGGGGAAGGGGGGGAGGGGCGGGGGGCGTGTACGAAATTCCCCTCCCCTCCCCCCCCCCATCGGGGGCTTCAGCTCAGCTCTGCTGGGGGGGGGGGGCCGGGTGGCTCTGCCGGGGAAAGGGGGGAACAAGGGGGGCGTGTACTAAATTTACCCCCCCCTGAAAAACCCACTTTGTTATTGACTTGGTCATCCCGAATCTGTGGGGGACGGTCCCAAGGACTCCCCCGGTACCGGGGGGACGCTCAAAGATGCTTCCAAGAGCATTCCCAAGATGGCCTCAAGAGGCAGAGTTCATTGACTTCGCAAGGGTTTTCGAAGGACTTTGCCGTTCTCGCCGTTTCGGCTTCAGAGGCCTCCGAGAGGGCTCCCAGACGGCCCGACAGGGCCCCAAGACGTCCCAGGAGGCCCCCGAGACGGCCGACAAGGCCTTCAAGACGGCTCCAAGAGAGGGCCCAGACGGGGGACACGATCGGACTTTGCGAGCCCTTGGCCCCGAGAGGCCTCCAAGAGAACCCCGGGAGAACCCCCTGGGGCCCCAAAGGCCGCCAAGACGCCCCCAGGAGGCCTCCGGAGGCTACGAGAAAGTCACCGAAAGGGCTCCCACGAGGGCCATGCACAGGTCGTCCGTTGTCCTCGTCGCCGTCGTTATCCACGTGATCGGCGTCGTCATCCCTCCTTCGCCGTCGTCAGTCGTTGTCGATCGTCTTCGCAATCGGTCGTCGGTCGCTTGTCCAGGTTGTGCTTCCTCATCGTCACTCGTATTTCTTCCTGCGACGTTCGTCACTCGCCGTGGTCGCGTTCGTATGTCGTCGGTCGCCGTTCGTCAGCCTTCGTCATCGTCGGGCGTCGTCATCGTCATCATCGACCGTAGGTCGTGGGTCGTCATTGCTCAGTCGTGCACGCCGCCGCCATCATCGACCGTTCTACTTTCGTCATGCGTCGTTCGTCCTTCGACATCGTCATCTTCGTCGTCGGTCGTCGTCGCCAGTCGTCGGTCCTGGCTCGCTGTTATTCGTTCGTCATCGACATCAATCGTCGTCGTCATCGTTGTTATCGTCAATCCTCGTCTGTCATCGTCGTCGATCTTCAATCGATGTTCGTCGTTCGTCGTCGTCGTGAGCGTTCTGATCGTCGTCGCTGTGAGCGTCGTGATCAGCACTTGAGGCCAATCCCAACAACAGCACGAGCGCCCAAGATCGGCGGCAGTGGCCAGAGGCAACTCCAATCTGTATATCGATTCCACTATTGATCTCACCACCGGTCACTGTATCAATCGATCGGTCTCACTACCAACCAGCCTCACTGTCCATGTCACAATCGATGCCACTGTCTATCTGTCGATCTCATTATCGATCGGTACCCCTATCTATCGATCTCACTACCTATCTATCTGTCGATTTCATGAAACAACCATCGAGATAACCATCGGGGCTCCATCAAGACACCATTACACACCACAGAGACACCATCGGAACATCATTGGGACACCATCGGCGTGCCACTGGGACACCATCGGGACACTAGCGGAACACCATCGGGACACCATCGAGACACCATTGGCAAACCATCTGGACACCATCGGGGCACCATGTAGACACCGTGCGGACACCATGTGGACACCATGTGGACACCATGTGGACACCATGTGGACACCCGGTGGACACCATGTGGACACTATCGGAACAACATCGGGACATCATCTGGACACCATCGAGACATCACCGGAACACCATCTGGACACCGTCGAGACATCATCGGGACGCCACCAGGACACCATCGGGACACCCCCAGGCCACCGCTGGCCAACTAGGGGGCACAGTATCATTTGGCTTGGTTTCGCCCTGGCAACGGCGGGTTCATTCTGCTCACCCGCCCACGCAACTTCGCCTCGCCCGCACGCGCGACACGAAAATGAAACCGTGACCGATTTCCCAGTGGAGGTTCTCCGTTTCACTTCGATCTCAACCCCCAACCTCCGATAACACTACTGGTGTTGCTAGTGGGCCTGCGAGTGGATCTCGGACGAACGCTACGGTCGTCCACTGTTGGCGGAGCTGGTGGTGCGGTTCAGAGGGGCTGCCGAAGCAACGCCGGCCAGGCCGAGCTAGCCTTCTGCAAGTCGCTCGCTCAGCGTGGACCTAGTCTATGGCCGGGGTGCAGCGGGGTGGGGCAGGATGAACCGAGGACACGTGCAGTAGTTCATACCGCTCGAGCCCCTCGCAGCTTCTGACACTCGCTTGGCCACCTGCGCTCGAATTCTACCAGCCCTCTGGAAGTAGGTGGTGAAGGGGTTCAATTCTTCCAGCCCCCTTTCTTCCCCTTCGGGAGGGGGGTTTACCGCTTCCCCTGCCCCACGCAGGACGCCTAGTGAAGCCTCCTGGGCAGCATGGGTGCTTCTTGGGAGCCTCTGAAGGCCTCTTGGAGAACGCAAGCAACGTTCAACGTCTGCAGACTTAGAAGATCGCCCATACAGGACGGTTAAGGGAATTTTAGCCCAACCCGTCGCAATCTTTCTTCACGATATGTTGATCAATATCCGCATGTTAAGAGAAGTCAGCTCTGGATCGCCAGGAAGACCCCTTGACATCGTCTTCGGCCCCTCGCAAGGCTCCCCTGGGGGCCTCTGGGACCCGCTGCAAAGACTCCCGGAGCGACCATCGAATCACTATTCAACCTACGCAAGAACCCCTAAATGCAAGCACTGTTTTGGGAAAATGTGGAGCACACCTGACACAACACATGATGTGACACCAGATGTAGCACTCCGTTGGGGGACAGAATGCGACGGATCACGCTGAACACTATTTGCACCAAACTGTGAACGCACAATGCGTAACAAGAAATACTACCAATGCGAATTCACATACGCTTCACGCCCGGGCCCAATTCAACTACCAACAATCAGCTGCCAATCTACATTCTGACCACGGTCCTTCCTAAGCGTGCTAAGCTGTGCGAACCCGCTGTGGGAAAGGAAGTAGCACGACGTGTCTCAGACCCGTCTCGTTTTGATCGGGTCAGTCTGCGACTGTGTTCTCGTCGTGTACATCGTACATCCAGGCATACCCAAGGAAGCAAGCGACCTATAGTTGTGACGCCAGGAGGGCTGCACTGTGGTAATTGGGGTGGGTCCTCCTTGCCCTGGACTCCAGCCTCACCCCGGGTCTCCCCCTTCTGCATTCTTCTATTCTGCTGCTGAGTGAGGAGCAGGAACCGCAAGATCGGTTCGTATACCCAAAGCGGTGGAGCTGGAATGGGAGGCAATGAAGGAGGGCAAACTAAATGGCATGAGGGTTGGGGGGGTGGGGGCCGGGACCAACCAACAGAAATTGCAAGTCTACCTTGTGCGATCGGGATGTGCCCAACTCGTACCTCTGTTTTGTGTTTGGAGCTTCCTGGGTTAATACGCCTCGCACTTCTAGAGACTCTATTCCGCGGCCTCCGTGACTATGCCCGCTCACCATGAACTCCAAGATTGTCCTGATTCTCTGCGACTGCTGTCGGAACGTCTGCCGACTATCTTGCTCGCCCTGCTGCGAAAACTTACTAAGTATGCCGGGTCACAATCTCGGCGAAGAGCGCACGCGTACCAGTTTGCAGACTGGTGCTCCGAGTAGCTCCATGCAGCGGTTGAGTTTGCGTTTCGTCAAAAATCTCCTACCACATGCCTGCAACGAGAAGCCACAACTTTGGTAAGCCTCTCAGGATTCACGGGCGTAGACTTCCAGAGTCCACATCTCAACTCCGCGGCCTTAGGTCTGTACAAACAACTTGTGCGCGACTTCGCAGAGCAATTGATGCAGCCGTAAAGGGCGCAGAAAAGGCACAATACACGACGGACCCCACGCTTCCCAGCCGTAAGTCTTTGCCTCTGGTGAGATCCTGCGCCAATGGAAACGTCTGTCACACTGGCGTGCAGTGTTTCCAGTTTGTACCAACGATCCAATCAGAAGTGCAACGATGCAACGTACTGCATCAACACACCCAACGCTTGCGGCACTGCAGCACTTAATGTGAATAAGTGGTTCCATCGTGGACCCCGCACGATGGATTCTTGTAACCCGTGGAATATAATACATACATACATCCATCCATCCATACATACGTGCATGTATGGCGCAATACTTGTGGTGACATATACGTATCCGCCACCGCTCCCGTAAGCGGGAAGCGGAACATCCTCGAGTCCCTTAGTCCACGCTGACTGCTGAATCGGAAATCGGGGGTGATACCGAAAGGAACAACGAGTCGCTCAACGGCAGCATCGGTTTCGGTTTCGTTTCGCGTCGTGCGAGGCGATGCTGCGCGAGCTCCTGCGCTAGCTGGGCTCAAGTCACGCCGAGACGCGCCGCGGTCGGGCCCCCTGGGGCGTGCCCGGGGTTGTCCCGCCCCGTGGTTGCCCCGACGGTTGTCGGAGCGTGCGCGGGAGTGTCCCGCGGTTGTCCTGCGGTTGTCCCGATGGCTGTCCTGCGGTTGTCCCATGGTTGTTGTTTGGTTAACCCGTGGTTGTCCTATGGTTGTCCCGTGGTTGTCCCGTCGTTGTCCAGGAGGCCTCTGGCCCACAACCCAAGCACGGTGGCAGCATGGGCTGACGGCCACTAGATCCGCCACCCCCTGTGGCTTGCCACAGGGGTGCAAGGCGTGCCAAACGTCTGGCAAATTGTGGATTCTTTTAGACCTCCCCATGGGGTCTCGGCCCAGCCCGCCAGCCACCCGAAAGGCCGAACTCCCAAAACTGCCCACTGCCAAAACCGCCTCCAAGACGGCCAAGATGACGCAACATGGCTTCCAATACGACCAAGATGACTCAAAATGGCCTCCCGAACGGCGCGAAGATGTCTCCAACACTGCCAAGATGGCCTCTGGAGAACCCAAGAAGAGCCCAATATGGCACAAGACGGCCCAAGAAGCTCCCAAGGGGCCTCTCAGGCGGCCCAAGAGGCATCCAAGAGGACCCGCAGGCACGCCCGAAGAGGTTAACATCATTATTTTTCCTTTGGTTTTGGATGGTTTTTGGCCTTTCCGCCTTTTCGATCTTCCGACGGCCCCAGGCGGCCCCAGAGGCCACCACGATGGCCCCTAGAGCGCCCAAGAGGCCTCCGAGGTGGCCCCATGACGGCCCAAGAGGTCCCCAAGTCGGCCCCAAGACGGCCCAGGAGGCCTCCAAGACGCCCAAGATGGCCTCCAAGGCGGCCCTGAAGCGCCCCAAGTCGGCACACAGAGGTCTCCAAGACGGCTTCCGACGGCGTCAGACGGGCCAGGACCGACTTCAGACTGCCAAAGGGCTTCAAAAGGAGCCTCCAAAGGCCCCCCAAACGCCCAAGGAAGCCCCCAAGAGGCCTCCAAGAGGTCTCCAGGAGGCCCAAAGAGTGCCCCCAAAGCTCCCAATATGCCTCCTCCTCCTCCTCCTTCTTCTCCTCCTCCTCCTCCTTCTTCGTGCCTCGTCCTCTTCCTCCCCCAAGTGTTCCCCGCGGGGTTTCCACAGCGGCTAGGGGACACACAGTCCGATAGCGCGGCCGAGCTCTGGCCACGACGTTCGGCCGCACAGGCGCTTCCGGAAAGCAGAGGGCGGCGGTGCCTTGCCACAAGCGTCTTCGATTCGCCGCCCCATGTGCTTGCCGCAAGGGCGTACGGAATGCAGAACATTTGGCTGTTTCCTTTTTTAATTTTTTTCCGACCCGACAGCCACCTAGAAGAACCCACAAGGCCAGGAACAACTGTACTACTCGCCTTCAAGACAGTCAAGATGGCCTCAAGCTGGCCTCCAAGACGTTAAAGATGACCCAACATGCATCCAAGACAGTTCCAAGATGCTTCCAAAACAGCTCATATTGCCTCCAAGATGGCCCAAGACGGTCCCAGCACGGCCTAAGATGGTTGCCAGACGGCTCAAGAGGCACCCAAGACGGCCCCAAAGGCCTTCATGAGGCTTTCCGGGAGGCCAAAAAACATTGATGTTCAATCGATTATTCCATGACTTTAGCGTTCTGGCATTTTCGGGCTTCCGACGCTCCGAGACGGCCCCATGGGCTCTCAAAATTGCCCCGAGAGGCCCCAATGATGCTCGCAGGACGGCTCGAGAGGGCCCCAAAACGGCCAAGAGACCCCAACACGGCCCCCAAAGCGCCCGAGGAGGGACCCATGACTGCCCAGAACGGGCCCCAAGACGGCTCCCGAAGGCCAGGAGGTCCTCAGAGGCCCCCAAGAGGCCCCCGCCCAAGAGGCTCCCAAGAGGCCCGAGGCGGCCCAGGAGGGCTTCAAGATGCCTCCTCTTCTTCTTCCTTCTCCTCCTCCTCCTCCTCCTCCTGGCCCCGCCCCACTCCTCCTCCTCCTCCTCCTCCTCCTCCTCCTCCTCCTCCATCTCCTCCTCCTTTCTCTTCCTCTCCCAAAGATTCCCCCCAGGGGGTTCCAAAACGGCTCGGGGAACACATAGTCTAATAGCTTGGCCAGACTTCGGCACAACGTTTGGCCGCTTGAACGTTTCCAAATGGCAAGGGGCGGCGGTGGTTCGTCGTATTTGTCTTCGATCCGCCGCCCACTGTGCTTGCCTCAAGGGTGCTTACCGTGCCGGATTTCGGCCAGTCCCGCCAGGCATGCGGAAGAACTACAAAGTCCATGAACATCATCCTAAACTGCTAATCGGTCCTCTCATTGGTTCAAATACGCCTCCAGTGCGGCAACGCTGGCACAGAGAGCCCAAGATGGTCCCAAGATGCCTCCCAGACGGCCCAAGATGGACCCAGTATGGCCTGAAGGCGGCCCAAACGGCGCTCTGAGCTGATCTCCATGAGGTCCTCAGGAGGCCAATATCATTGATCCCCATACGCATTTTCAAATTAGTTGTCGCGTTTCGGCGGTGGACAAACCTCCCGTGAGTAACCCCCCTTGAGTGAAAACGGCCCAGGATCGAGGCCGACGGACCTGGACCAGCAAAAACGACGGCCGCGACGCCCTCCCGCGAACCGACAGCGGTTAATTTGCGAATCGACGTGTCAGGGTACACGTTGTTCAGTTCTTATCGTGCTCATTTCTAATTGTGCTCGTTTCTAATGATTCCTGGCCCCCTAGTGGCCAGGAAGAGGCCCAGGATAGAAGAATTAGAAGTGAAAGGATCTTGGTCCCCCCCAAAACCAAAAAACTTTCGAAGGAGTAGAAATGAACAACGTGTAGGAGGTCTACCAACCTCCGAGCGGGCTCGCTTTCCCAGGCCTCCGGAGGCCCAAGGCAGCCCAAAACAGCCCCCAGACGCCCCGAGGGCCCCCCCCCCGACGAGACGGTCCAAGCGGGTCCCAAGACGGCCCCCAAATCCCCAAGGGGCCAGGCGGCCCGAGAGCATCCCGAGGCTTCCCAAGAGAGGCCCTCTGGGGCCCAAGAGAGCCCCAAGAGCCCCCCCCCCCCGCCCCCCCACGAGAAGGACCGCACGGCAAGCACAACGACCCACGAGAGCTCCAGCTGACCCCAGAACAAAAAACTCCCCAGTGGTGTTTTCCATGGGTGGGGGAACACGCAATCCACCAGCGTGGCCGCAGTTTCGTTCGACCCTTCAACACCCAGAAGAACAAAGGGTGGCGATGCCTTGCCGTAAGCGTCTTCGATAATTCAGCCGTGCGCGTCCATCAACATTCTACTATCTACAACAATGCCTCGCCGACGAACTCGAGAAAACCCACATATTCAATACCACCACGTCGTCAATGGGGTTTCTGACAAGTGCCGTGTATCACTTCGAATGCATTCTATAAGCCTGCGGACTCTAGGGCAGCAAGGCCAGAATCTGTCACAACCGCATGACTATCTGAAAGGCGTGCGAATGCCATTCATGAATTAACCATCTCAACGCCACACAATCAAGGGCTTCAAATGTACTTCAAATCGCCTGCTAGGTACAATGCGCAGCGCTTAGATACGCTTGTCCATTCAGACTTGTGTAATCAATTGTGGAGGTGCATCGGCAATTTGATACCGCAGCCAGCTCGTGGGTGGGAGAAGGTCGATCTTAAAGTGTGCGCTGCCAGATACGAATTACTATTTGGTGAAGCCTTTCCAGGGTTCACTTGGCGTTTAGCCATTATGGCAATCGGCACGCGAACGACTCCTTCTCCATCGCGTTACGAATTCCTGTAGCATGCAAGGTCGCGCGGCGCCTGCCAGCCTGCACGAGTCGCAGTGGGGCAAGGCTGGGCGGGGTGGGGGGCGGGGGTGGGGTGGGCGCAGGAAAATCGCGCCTCACCGCCGGCGACCAGGGAGATCCAGTGGCTGCGCCACCCAGCGGGATCTGGCTCCCCAGACCCCCGACGTTGTGATTTTTTCACAACGTCGACCCCCTGAGGTCTGGACCCTTTCCCCGGGACCGGTTCTTCGTCCTGAGTCGTTTTTTGACGGTCCCGAGGCCCGGTAAGGGCCCCCGGAGGCCGAAAATAACGAAAAACCTCCCGTCGTGTTTTTTTCACGACGCGAGGAGGTCTGGGTCTGCGACACGCCCAGCGGGATCCCTGCGACTTCCGAGGCACCAGCGCACGGTGGTGGGCGGCGGGTGGCGGCTGCGCGGGCCGCCCGGCATGCTGCGGGGCTGCGCCGCAGGGCCCGCGCCGCCTCGGCAGCAGAGGTGCCGGGCCTCCGGCGAGGGTGGGTGGAAGCCGTGGTGAGCGCCGGGCGGACGGGAACGGAGCACGAGCCAACGGGACGGAACGGAGCACGAGCCAACGAAACGTGGGGAACGGACGGACGGGACGGGAACGGGCGAAACGGACGGGGGGGGGGAGGGGCGGGAGACGTGCCAGCCTCGGAGGCCGGCGGCGGCTGCCACTGCTACGAGGGGAGCGGGCTCTCAGGGGAGCTGCCTCTGACCCATCTGCGAGGGGCATGTGGGCGACCACCCTGTGTGGCCTTCTGGCCAGCTCGCCCACGACCAACGATAGAACGGGGGCGGGGGAGGAGCATCAGGATGACGAGGAGCGCCACTACCCCAGAATGCCCTCATCTCCTTGATATAACTCCCTGGCAGTGGGGCTCAGCCGGGCTCAGCCGAACCATTGCTCGAGCTCTGGCCTTCGTGAGGCCTACACCCGTGCTCTTGCCCCACAGCCGTTTCTCTTGCCCCACAGGCCTACAGCCGTGCTCTTGCCCACAGGTCTCTTGCCTACAGCCGTGCTCTTGCCCCTACGTGCTCAGCAACACATCGAGGACGAGAACAGCGGAACACCATTCTACACGTGAGGCCACTACCATACACCCTAACATACATCGCTCCCAGAACGCTCCTGACCCTTTTGATGGTGAGGACGAGGGCGAGGACTGGGAAGCGGAGGAAGTGCAACATAGTTCACAATGCTCTCGAACTCCCGAGCTCCCGCCCCCCACTCCACAACGCTGTTCTGAATCTGGACGGCGGAAGCGACGCGAAACTGTTCAGATGCTCGTCCGGATGCACTCTCTCCGTCCCCCCGCTCAAGCACAACAAGCGCATGCATTCCCGCAGACAACCTGGACGTGCTGCCGCGACGTGCGGGGAATGACTTTCCCGTGTGTGTTTGTGTCTGTGTGCCTCCTCCTTCAGTGTGAAGCCCAGCAAAGCCAAGCGAGGACGGCTGTGGCAGGTGGCGGTTGGGGCGAGTTTGGGCCCTCGTGATGCGGCATGCGAGACACCAGCGATGTGTTCACGAGGGGCGGGGGACGGGTTCGTGCGCACACCATCAGTACGGCAACCAAGACAAAGAAGTAGGCTCGGGGCCTGCTTAGAGCGCCTCTGCTGCAGCTGCACTGGAAAATGTCACCGCGGCTGCAGTCTCGGCGGGTGCCTCTGCGGCTGCTGGGGCGTCCATGTCGGCCGCCTCCCTCTTGCGCTCCTCGGTCTGGGAGGCGATCGCAGACATTCGATAAGCAAGAACACGTACCATGCTGTGAATTCGCATCTGTTCTACATGTGTCTTCGATGAACCGTAATCGCGGTGCGATGGCGGCGAAAAAGGTGGGAATGACGTGATGGTGATGCCCTTTTTACTGGTGGCTCAGGGCCCCTGCCACTCCCAAGAACTTGATGCCCCAGGGTGGTGGGTGGATTGTTCAAAATCGGCGGAGTGCCTGAGCCCCAATGGCAAAAGACGTCGGGCAATTAAGGATAATCCAGTTCCGTGTTGGTGCATGGGGGCGTACCCTCGATGAGCCCTGATAGCGGTGCGATGGCGGTAGAAAGGGGGTGGGGCGAGAACTGATGGTGATGCTCCGGTTGCTGGTGACGGTTCCGGGGGCCCTGGCTCAGAGCCCCTGCCTCTTCCAAGAGCCTGATGCCCCCCCGTGCGACCGGAGTGAGATACCAAAAGGGAGAGGAGACCCGGGGGTGAGGAGGCGGATCCGACCCCCCCTCCGGCCCTCCGGACGCTGCGAGCGTCGGAGGCCCATCCCCCTTTCGTGGACGCTTCCCTCGGCGTAGGTGCCCCCCCTTTTGCCCGACCCCGCGGGGAGTGCCGCTCGCCCCCCCGCCCCAGGCAGGCACCCAGGGGGGCCGCCGAGGCCGAGGGGGGAGGCCCACTTCACCTCCCTCCCTTCCTCCTCCTCCTCCTCCTCCTCCTCCTCCCCTCCTCCTCCTCTTCCTCCTCCTCCTCCTCCTCCTCCTCCTCCTCCTCCTCCTCCTCCTCCTCCCTTCTTCTTCGTTTCTTGTCGCCGCCCGTGCCGCGCCGCGCGCGTGCGCGAGGGCAGCGAGGGCTCGGTCTCGATGCCCTGCCCATTCCCCATCAGGCCTTCCGCGGTGGGGGCGCCCCCTCCCCCGCCCTGGGCCCCCGCCCCCGCCCGCGGCAGAAGCAGGGGGTCCACGGGTAGGATAAAAGGGGCTCCTGCCGCGGAGGCGCCCGCCTGAGGGTGGGGCTTCGAGACGATCCCGGAGGCGCGCCAAGTCCGCGTCCCCACGGGCCGCCCCCGTCCCGAGGGGTCGCGTGGGGCCCCGCCGCTGCTGCGAGCAACTACCCTGCCCCCGCCCGAACGGCAACGTCTGAGACGCGCGGCGGCCGCCCTCTCCTCGACGATCGCGTCGAAGAGCTCCTGGCGGCTTGCGTCATCTCGTCGGGCGCGTGCTCTTTTTTAGTGCGCAGCCGCCGCGTGGGTCGTGAGGGACTCGCCAAAATCCGTCGTTTTCATGTCGCTGAGGTCGTCCGCCGCCTGGTTCTCCCGGCGCGGGGGCCAGTCCAAGCTCGGCGCCATCTTGCCGACCTCAGCTCCTCCGAGAGCTCGATGCGGAGGGCCGTCAACAACCCTGTGGTCGACGTGGCCGTGGACGCCGCGCAGGCGCTCCCCAAAATGTCCGTCGGGTCGTCTGCCTAGGCCCTGGCCCATGGAGGCCAAGCCATCTGCCTCCAGCGCGTGCCGGTGGGCTCCTCGGGTGCTGCCGTCTGGCGGTGCTTCCCAGCAGCCTGTCCGGCGGCGCGCCGCCTTTGCCCTCGCGTCCGCGCGGAAATGCCCAGCGCGCTCAGTCTCGAACGTGACGGGCACCTCCATTCTCTGCCCTCCTGCTGGCCACTTGCCGATCCACGTCGGCATGGGCCTGGCCGCCAAGGGCAAGGATGTCCTCCCGCAGCCCGACGGCGTGGATGGTACCGCGCCTGGCCGCCTCGAGGCGCCAGGCGGCCACCCGCGCCGCCGAGGGGCCCATCGTGTTGGTGGTGTAGTTGCAGCGGGGGCCAATCCAATCCATCTCGATGTCGCCGCGCGTCGTAGCCCTCTGCGCCGGGAAGCCAAAGGCGCTGAGGAGGATGACCATGAAGAGGGTGGCAAATCTCCCGTGACGTCCTTAGCCGATCGCTTCCAGGTTGTCGGCGTAAGCGAGATGCCCCGCGGGCCCAGCAAGCCGAAGATTGCCCGCGACGCGTCGCCGAATGGCCTGGCCCACCAGGTCACCACCCCGCGGCGCTGGAGATGCCGAACGTGCCCGCGGTGTTGCGCTGGATCTCGCCCCCGAACTCGCGGGCCAACGTGCCCCTCTCGTTCTCGCGGATCTTGATGAGCCGATGCGATGTGCGCCCTGGACGTCGGTGACGGGCGAGAAGATGACTTTGTGCCGGTCCCTGTAGTAGCTCAAGAAGTAGTTCTTCTCTGCGGGCCTTGGCGCCCACTGGCGGTTCTGGCGTCGGAACAGTGCGAGTCGTGTGAGAGGGGGAATGTTGGTACCTCTACTCGTCAATGTCAACGCACTGCATCTGATGTACTTGGCACAGATCTATCTATCTGTAAGGCGAAGTGGATCCGCCAAAGCGGTAGCGCTAGCATGACAATCAGAAAGGTGCACGGCGAACTCGTGCATGCCATCGCGCGAGTCGCCTCTTGCCGTTCGCGCTCTCCTGGACCGCCAACGCTGCTGCAGCGTTGTTGTCGTGGAGACAGCGGTGCAACTAATCCCTGGAAGACTTGGCCATCCTGCCCGACGTCACCTCGTCCGCTAGGTGTTCCCGGAGCCGGTTGCCGTGGTCGTGCACGCTGCTGTGCTTGGCTGAACTCTGGGGCGGCCCAGTTGGCCGCCCCCCGGTCGAAGCGCCACTTCATGAGCTCCTCCAAGATCGCTTCCTGTCTGGGCCTCTCGTGCAGGATGCCCGCTGTGACCCTGGTCCCCAGCGCCTTCATCAAGTCTGCTCCAGGGCCCCTTGTTTCGCGCAGGAGTGCGGCCAGCAGGCGGAGGCGGACGCGCTGTCCCGCTGCTGCGATGCCCACATCGTCGCCGTGCTGTGCTCGGCCTCTAGCTCGCAGCCAGCCTTCGAAGACCCCTCTGGCTGCCTCGTGGAACTCCTTCTCCACGAGGTCGGGTGGCTCGCTCGGGACGGTCCTGGCAGGGTGCTCCTACGCTGCCAGCTCGTGCGGGGCTCGCTCCGCGGCTGCCCAACCGCCCAATAGCCTGTGAGATCTCCTCTAAGAGCTCGATCCTCAAGCCGGGGCAATCTGGGAACTTCCGAAGGTCCGGGTCCCAACTGCCAAGCGAAAAAAAGCCCGCGCCATCGTGGAAGCCTCTCGGGCCCTCGCTGCGCTCGCAACTGTGCGGCGGCCCCGTGCATCCGCATTGACAGGGTTGTGAAAGGCAGTGCCTGCTAGGCCTATAGGGCCTCCAGAAAGGCCAAAGTACCTCCCAAAGTAGGTTTCGGAGTAGGAATAGAAGTACCCCCCGAGACTAACAAGTAGGTTCCAAAGTACCCCCCAAAGTACAAAAAGTAGGCTCCGACGGGTTGTTGGCTTGTAACAAGTAGTCGATTCAGAGCTCGTTCGCTAGCGGCGCGTACTTCGAAAACTCCTCGCCTCGCTTCTCATTGTATGTTCTCTCTTCTATGTTGTCTCATCCACCCCCAGGAAGTCCACACAATACGTACATGAACAACTAAATGACGAAGGGCATTCAACACTAAACAAAAACATGCAACTCTCTCTCTCTCTCTCTCTCTCCAAGAAAACCCCCAAACTCGGCGGACCGCACAGCATAGAATGTATTATGAAGCTTGCCACCGCATAGCTCACACCACACATGTGGCACCGCGTTGCTTGCACCACGTAGATTGCTCAACATAGGTTGCACCACAAAAGTGGCACCATATAGGTTGCTTCCCATATAATGCACTACATAGCGTGCACCACATAGCTTACGCCACATAGCTTGCACCACATATATCGTGCTACATGGCTTGAGCCACATAGATTGCACCACGCATATTGCCCCCCCACATCCTCCCACCCTAGCCATTTTGGCTGTCAGCCTCCCCCCCGCCATGAGCGGGGGCGGGGCAGGGTGGGCCCTCGTCGCGGAGGCCGAGGCCGCGGCTTCCGAGGGGCTCGCCGCGGGCTGGGCGGCCAATGCCGCAGCCGCCGAGGAGGCCGCCCTCGGCGGCCCCGCCGCCGGCTGGGGCGCGGTGGCGGCCGACGCCGCCGAGGCGGCGGAGAGCCCCGAGGGCCTCGAGGCGTTCTCCCACTCCCTTTCCCCACGGTGGGGAAAGGTAGTGGGGGAACTTCTCGTAGGCAGTGGACGTCCGCGGCGTCGGCCATCGCGACCTCGAGGACGTCCACCTGGACGGCCTGACGGCCGACGCCGTCAGGCCGCTGACGGCCTCAGCGGCCAGGCGGAAGGCCCATGGTCAGAAAACAGGAGATGAGGACGAGGTGAGGAGGGACAGGATAACAACTCAAGGACTAGGAAGAAGGCCTAGGATATGAGGAAGGATGTGGAGGAAGGATGGAGGACACAATGAATGAGTAGGCGTAGGCGTGAGGAGGAGGAGGAGTACGGAGGATGTGAGAGGATGAGGACATACGGGACGGGAAGGGACAGGATGGATGTGTTGTTTGCGGCGCCGCAGGCTATGTGGCAGCCGCTGGGGCCTCTTCGCAAGAGGTTGCGAGAGTGCCTGCGTGCTGCTGGCGCTGCTGCTGCTGCGCCTCATCGGCCAGCTGTCGCGGCGGCGCTGGAGGCCGCCGAGAGGGCGGACTTCGACGACGAGGGCTTCGATCTGTTCGGCAGCTTGACCGACGACGACGACATAGCAGCCCCCGTCGACGGCGATGGCGACCTGGCCCGCATCGACGAGCCCGACGGGTTCCTCGGGCCCCTCGCCGCCGCTCCGCCAGCTCCGACGCAGGACGAGTTCAGGCATGACATCGCGCAGATGGTCGAGCAGATCAGCACGCTGGCCAAGGCCAACGACATCGCCAAGGCAGAGTTCCACAGCAGCAAGCAGGTCGGCGTGCTGGAGTATTTCCTGTCGGGCAAAAACAAGACCTTGCCGTTCCACGAGGAGTGCGGCAAGTTGGGTGTGGACCGACGTGGCGCCGACACTGTCCTGAAGGCGGCTGCTGCTGCTTGCTCGCTGCTGCTCAACAGGGACGT